TCATTATATTTTGTATATTTTTGTGCAGCTTTCAACAATTAGACAAACCATAATATAAGTAAGAAGTTCAACTCTTCAAAAGAAAGATTTATTGTAAATAATATTTTGTAATAAGTGTAAATAATTGTGAATTTAATCTGTGATATTCAGAATTTACCACACATTTTCCGTAACATAATAGACAGCTTCAATTTCATTTTATTAGTTCTTGTTCATTTTCCGTCATTCAAATTTAAAGTCACTCGCTTTAAAAGCATGAACATCAATATATGAAACACGTGATTTCGTTTTATATATTGATGTTCATGAATTATGTACTTTACAATTGAATTATGTACTTTAAGTATACCCTTAAAGTACATAATTCAATTATTTCATAGAATGACTAGGTATTTCATGAAATAACTAGACAAGTCATTTAAAATATATAACAGATGAAAAATTTTATATTTTACCTAGTTATTTCATAAAATAACTAGCCAATCTATGAAATAACGAATGATAGACAGTTAAAGTAAAACATAAACAATTTCAAAGTTATTTTAAAAATTAATTGATCAAGACTAGCTAAAATCTCTTGAAAAATAGATTTTATCCCTATTGTGAACTATTGATAAATTATAAGGAAATACAGATGATATAATTTATTATTGCTCATATTTATGACAACGTTTTAAGGCAACGGAATAAAGCGTGTGCACGAGTCGTTGCAAATCTGTTGTAAGTGGTTCAAAACATATAAAAAGCAGCTAGAACTATTTCAAAGAATATTCCAGTGCAGTACTTCATACTTTGACAATTATGGAATCGTTCTTCTCTACAATACTTAGTTAAATAATTTTATATACATTAACTAATTTTATTTACTTCATGAAAAAAACCTAGTTTGTGTTCGATTTTGTTTCAATTTTTTTAGTGCTATATATATTGTATTATACTATATTGATCTATTGATTTGCTTTGACTATATTGTTATATTGATACAATATTAGAAAGCACTCCTTTTGTAGATATAATACTGTGAGCTGATGAAGAAATTATATCTTTTCATTTTTTTAGCACTCCGGCTTAAAATTTAAAAATATAGTTTTTAAAATTTTTTATTTGTTTAAATATTTTATTGTAATAATTTTTCATCTTCTTTTTTCACCCTTACTATGGTATATGCTATACATAATATATAT